TACTGCACAGTAAAAGGACTAGTAATAACATTGCCTTGACCATCTACCTTGGACAACAAATTTTGTTGGGTGGTCAATTTAGCTACATTAACATATATGATGAGCCACAGTTGCCTGTGGACATAAGTGCTTTGCTGGAACATTTATGTATTATATCTATATGTAAAAAGCATGTCAATTAAAGAAAAAAAAATGGGAAGTACAAGCATCAATATAAATCAGTCAGAGAGTAACTTACTGTAAATTTTGTAATTTTTTAAAAAATCTATTTGGCAAAGGGAATAGGCAATATTTATCACCAGGGTGTGACCGGTGCAAAGCATGATGGCCGGGCTGGGGAAGGTACTTTTTTGGGCATTCATAAGGGTGGGACAATCAGTTTTTTTTTTTAAAACAGTACCGTAGATGGGAAATCTATATTTTTCATCTAAAAGACTGTATGAACCAAAAATTATCACTTAAAAAAAATTACCATAGTAGTCATACAATAAGTATGGAAATACCAAACTATGGAACCTAATATTTTTTTTTTAATATTCATATGAGTGAATATAATAATGAAGCAAGTAAACACTTCATAGTCATAAATGAATAGTAATTTACAACCAGAAATCACAGTTTCCTTTTATTTTCAACAATTTAGACATGACCTTGAGTGTGGAACAGTCTTCTGACTCCTTTAACATTTCAAAATTGTCTAGAAATTAAGGTATCATTTTAGATTTATAAAGTATAGGCTATTTCAAGAAAAAATTCCAAATTTGCCATATTCTATTGAAAAATAAAAAAAATTATGGTTAATTAGGAGAACACATCAATATTGATTCGACTGTCCTTAACATGATGATAGATGCTTTTCATGAAAATTCCAGTCTTTTTACAATATTTCATTTTACATTTAGAAAGTTCATCCTATTACAAGAAAAATGATAACAAATTTGCCAAACTTCACTGAAAAATAAAAAAGTTATGGTCGATTAAGAGAACCGACCAATAGGGATGGGTAGACTGACCTTAACATGATGATTGATAGATGCTTTCTATGGAAATTCAAGTCTTCTTACAATAAATAACTTAAGATTTAAAAAGTACATGCTATTGCAAGTAAAACAATACCATATTTGCTATATTTTAATGAAAAATAAAATAAGTTATGGACAATTAAGAGAACACACCAATATCGATTGACTGACCTTAACATTGATGATGCTATGAAAATTCAGTTTTCTTACAATATCAGAAACTTTCTTTTCCCAAATCAGAAGCATTAAGAATTCTTCATTATTTTCAAATGTAAATACATATTAGAAATTCAATTAGATTATCAAGATTTGGACTAAGGTGCTCAGAGGTATCCCTCATCTTCCTGTTTTTTAAAGTGAAATATGGCACATATAATCTTCATTTACATGATTTAACCTAACTTTTATACATTTGCAAGGTGAATGTAATCCAGTATCACACTTAAATTTCTTAAACATTTAGTTCTGAAAAGAAAAATACTCACTTTACTTCAACTGAATGGAGTACTGGGTATGTACTTATGTAAACTTGTGGTAACTTAGTCTCCACCTTTCTAGATGGCTATAATGACAGTCGCCTTGTTTAGCTGTTATGTCCATGCCACCATACGTATGCACAAGAATGATATTCGTGTATATATATGAGATACACTGTCCAGACAAGACATTCATCCTTAAAACATGTAAACAGTCTAAAATATGGACCCTCAGTGAGTCCAACACGCGTTCAGCAAAATCTTAAAATCATACATCTCTATGCCAGTCATTCTATTAGAAAGATCCAAAATACTTTACCGTGCCTTTGTATAGCAAAAAGAAATCGGGATCAGCTGGTAGGCCTTATAGTAATACATATGCCTGTATTCCATGTCCTTTTTCCTACTCTGACGTCACGAAAAGAAAGTGAAAGGGTGCGTTTGATGGCCAGGTGTGCAGTGCAGTCATTCGAAATCACAGTTGCAAACGATTTGATTAACAACTTTATAGATGGCTACTTGATATTTATGGACAGTATTAGTAAGCGTAAATATCGTATGAAACACGAAATAATAATTTTATTTTCATATCAACATTGATCTTCGATCATGACTGGCCTGCTAACATCAATGATCTAAGGTACAATCTCACAAATATCAAAATGTGACTAAGGTATATTAAATAAATATATAATCATAACGTTACATGTATATATAGTTCATAAACTTAAAGGAGACAACCACTTCAGTGAGGGGGGGGGGGGTGTATCAAGTCTTATTTTTTATATCCTTGTCCTTACTTCCAGACAGGAGAGAATATAAATTTATTTAATTTATTTAGTTTCTTTGATCCCTTGAATAGGTTGACAACAAAGAAAAAAAATTATTGGGGTTGCATGTAGGTACCACACCAATCAAGGTCACTTTAGTAATTTTTCTTCCGTTTGAAGGATAGATTTCAACAATTTCAAATAACCAAAACCATTAACCTGTTAACAGTACAGTGTGCTGGAAATGGGGGACTTCTTGACTCTTCTCACCGAGAAAAAAAATAATAATAAAAACGCTTTGAAAATTGAACTGAACATTTTGATGTAGATGTTTCATAACTGAAGTTGGAAATATGTGCGACAATACTTAGATTGAAAAAGAAGCATTTCAAGTTGTATAAGATAAATTTAATGATTTTACCATATTTTCAGTGTCGTTTAAATTATATACTCATAATCTATAATACTTCCCGCTAACTGTTTTATGACTTACAACTTGTAAATGTAACCATTTAATTTAACCAATTAATCGATTTTTAATATGGGGGATCTTTATTCTTAGTATATCAAAGGTCCTTTCCAATTGATAAAACAAACATAAATTACCGTATATATACTTGCAATTTCTAATTACCCCTGTTAATTACATGCCAACAGAAGCCACATACAGGCACATGTATCTACAAGTTCCATGGCCCTAATGTACACTGTACAACAGAGTTCACACTTCGCAGATCACCGTTATATTCGCCTTTCCAGTGAACCCATAATGCCGTTATAATCATTAATCATGTTAATTGGGCGGCGTCCTCCTCCCTACGGTACCACCTTGATCTACACTGACACCCTCGTCGTGTTTTGAGGTACATCACACACCCCATTTTGAGTACACTAGCTATAATCACAAAATCAGATGTCATTTTCAAATAACCATATCGTAAAATTTTCGTTTTATTTACATGTTTAAAATTCAATAAACATTTTTTTTTCGATAAGCATGCAGGGCATCCGTGCAATAAGTCGATACATTTATTATGATTTTCCTTCTCCTACTAATGTTTTCAGTGAACATTCAATGCCTTTATCAGTTTATGAGCAATTAAAATTGCACATTAGTACAATTATTAAATCCGTTATTTAAGAAGAACTGGCTATGAATTACATAAATATTTGAAGGATTGATAAGTTTATTTACCGTATTTACTTCTGCACATTTGTTGAATCTTAACAGCTTATTAACTGCGTATACTGCTGAAAGTAGCTGGCATAAAAACCAAGTTAAAAAGGGATCATTTTAGATAAGTACATTTCTGTATAACGAGGAAACAATAAAAAATACTATTTCAGGATAAAATCTTATACTAAAGATACACATGCTTTCAGGATTTTTTTACGAGGTGGGGAGCTCTTAATTAGGTCCCTGATTACATGTAGAGCAATTAGCAAACAACAATGTAGAAGAGGGGGCGGATTATTTTTTTTAACTTATCATACATTGTATAATTATTGACTACTGGACCCTTTACAGTTGTGGTCTAAATTTGATAACTTTTACTCACTTTTTTTCTTCTTTCAGAAAACCAAAATATACATAAACTAAATTTAATATTTATTTTCTTCTGTAATCCTTGATTTTACAACACATTTGTTCAATAAGTCGATATCTTTCGAAGTTCCAAACCTGAAGACTATGGAAAATGACGATTGAAAATTAATGTGAAAAGAGAACTAAAAACTTAATTAACTCAGCACAACAATCAATCACTCTAGATCGCATAAAGCCCCCCCCCCCCTTCCCCATTTTCTACAAACTCAACTTTTATCCAATACGAACATATATATATATATATCCACTGATGCTAACTTCTGTTTACAACCGCTAATCAGCCATTGTCGCAGTTTATGAAAGCGTGACTGTGTATCTCAAATACTACCCCTATCCACCAGTCCTTCCGACAGGATCATTAATTTTAATTTAATTTGATGGTAATTTTGAAACAAGAAAATGGGATTTCCGAGAGACTTTGAAATTATTTGGTTGAAAATGATAGAAATGTCACATTTCTAAAACACATGAAACAATACTGTAGATTCTTTATAATCTTTGTTTAAATTTCTTATTTTTGATATGGCCTTATAAATCTACATATTTTATAATCATTTATATAACATTATTGAGAAATCTAGAGTGAAAAATCAAACTTTTTTATGTCTAAACTTATTCATTGACATAGAAAGTCATTGAAAAAGTTTTTTTTTTTTTTTTTTTTTTTTTTTTTTTTAAAGGGATCTGTCTTTAATAAATGTTTTGTGTTATGGGATGCAAACTATAAGCACTGGCATTTTGATAGATTATTTTGAATTTATTCTTGATAAATAATTTTTCATCCCATGCAAATGCATAGAAATTACGTTTTAGGGGGGTACCGTACATCGCAGCATGATATCGATCCCTCTATTCACACCTTTGATTGAAAATCTATCGCAAAACTCACCCTCAGGCCTTATAGAATTTCCGCCCAATAGCGGTAATTCGTAACCAAGACATATATTCAAGAATTCGTCTTCGCACCTACCGATACCTGCTATTTGAAAATAAAAATACCATGGTTTGATTTTCACAATCCCGAGTATCATCTCTCGATTTCGTCTCGTGAGGTTAAACAAACATTGTATAATATACAAAACACCATATAAAAGTTAAAATTGCATTGCATATCTATTATTTATAGGTGAAGATCAAAGTGCTAAGGAGGAGAGAATGACGAAGAACCGCTTTATGGTGTGCTGCCGTGCAACCAGACCTCTGCGTGTTAGAGTAATTTGTATTTTAATTATCCTCCTTCACATCGCTGTTGTCGATTATCATATGGTGGAACACGAAAGCATTGCATTGTTGGGCTTCCTCGCAGTTGACGTCATCAGCCTTATTCTGTTTGTTGCGTCATTTATTTTGTCATGTTTACGTTTCAAGAGTTTGAATGGAAACATGCCAATGAGGAAAATAAACATTTGGTTGGATGTAATTTCTTGGTTTGTGTTCTCAGCCACTGTGATGACTAAGTCGGTTATAATATTTAGTGATTTTGAAGATGAAAACCTCATTTTTGGGCCAAATGCCGTAAAAACTGCTTTTGCTTTAGTAGGAGTAGTCTTTGTGCTTCATCTTTCTACACTTCATGACGCAAAGCCAGGTTCGGAGAGGAAAGCATACATTGAAGAACTATCTACCCATGTTATTTTTGATATCATGGATTGTGTCGATAGCATGGAACCGCTCTTCATTAAGGAGGATCGTGCAGAGTTTCCACCAGGTCTCATTAAAGCTATAGTGGCTGTAGCCTCCTTCAATTTTGTCTTACCAACCATACCTCTTCTCACCCTGTCGCTCACCAGATTCGGACATGCCAAGTTACCCCGACGTTTGATCGTGTTACATAAGATTCTCCATGCATACATAGTCAACCTTCCTCTCTTACTCATGAGGATTATTTTATGGCATGAATTTAACAAAGGCATCTCCGTATTTTCTTTAAAGAATGTGATTGTGATCGTTGCAACATCCTATGAATTCTACAAACATTACGAGACCGAAAAACTTCAAAAGGTTGACGACAATGCAGAAAGTTAACCAGTTGATGCATACAGAATGGTCTAATAGATTCAAATATCATAGCATAAAGTTACACTACCAACCGATAAATTTAAAAAAAAATACAATAAGACAGAACACATACGTGACTATCTGGATGCGCAATGCGTTGATTTTACGATTTTCTTTAGGATAACTGAATGAAACACCCTTGACAACAGAAATCACACCCTTCTACACCAGAAAAGTGTAACATGGGAGCAGGTGTTTGTTATTTTTTTTTAAACCATCGCATTTCCACAAAATAAACAACAGTGTCTTCGTAAAATTGTGAATTTTCAATATTTCTGTGACGTCATCAATTGTGATTAGATGATGTATAGTTTGATAAATCAATTGTTATACCTGTTAAGAGTTGAACAACTGAATAGACAGGCATAACTATTAAGAGATTGCTCCCCATTCATTTCTGAAGTGACCACACATCCGATTCGCATGAAAAAAAAGCAATTGAAATTTCAAGAAACCATTTTACATTAAAGTATATTGGAAATTGCAGAAATGCACATGATTTTTAACTTTTCTGCATTTTCACACATCTTTTGATTCTCACGTCACGTAAAAAAGAATTTACTTGCATCCGAGAGCGTCGGAACATTAATATATCTGCGTGTTCGGGGAGGTTGTCGTTTAGGTATTTGCATGTTGCCGGCATATTCTTGTTGCTGCTATAGCTATCAATCTGATGTGTGTAAAACCCGAATGGTGTCTTATAAATTTTACATTATTAAATGTGATTAAGTTTATTAAATCCATTTGCATGTCAATGTGTTTTCAATATTTTAAGCACAGTATTCTATATATCTAGGACATATTTTTTTCCGTCTGCAATAATCTATTTTTAGAACAATATAAATGTATATATAAGATCCAATCATAGCAGTGTCCATGAATAAAATAGTGATAGCAAAGCATTCAACTTTCTTTTACAAGGACCTGCAAATGTGGTATGGGTGTTTTGGGAAATTAAACTGTAAAACCACTGAACTTGAATAAATGAATACTGTGACATTCACGTGATAGTGTTCGATTGGCGTGTGCTTTGTTATATCACAACGCTGAATAGCTGAATGGTTATATTTTTACTGCGGATTTTAAGTAGCATAAAAAAAACTTGATGGCATTGAATATTTAAGAAAAAAAACAACCCTTGTTTGGGATGTCTTCTCTAAACTATTCAACACAATCGAATCATTTATTACTTAATGGTAGTAAGTGAAGTACATGTAAGCACTGATTTTTGTATGAATTCTGACCAGGAAGTCCTTCAGGGCAGGCCTGCATCTAAATAAAATAATTTGATAGGTTGTGTCTAAGGAAGAATTTAAGATCTGATTTTTTTAGCCCCCCCCCCCCCCCGCCTTTAGGACGAAATTAAAAAAAAATAAAAAATAAGGAAACCTGTTTTTTAAAACCTAGTTCATGTTTATATATGTACTATCTATTATCATAGACAGAATAGGTCTATTGGCATAACCGCTGACTATCAAGACCAAGAAACATTTTTAGAATCATGGTTCGAATCCACTTAAACCACACTCTTTTAGATTTTAAATTCTCGCCTTTTCAAACTTTATCATTTTTTATAGGGGGCTTGTGTGTATTTTTCTTTAATTAGCTATCTTTATGCATTTCCATTCTTTTTACAAAAACACTGTAAAGAAAACAAATCGGGAATTTCATCGTTACTAAAATAGAGTCAAGTAGAACTTTATCCTAGTTGAATAGAACTTTTTATCCGAGGAAAAGAATTATTCACTATGTGTTACTCGATACAGGTATTATCTTCTGCAATGAGCTGTGTTGAGTTTTTATTGTAAATATTAGTCTACGAATTTAATCAATTCAGTGTATTACATTCATTTGGTTTTAATCCGTCTGTACTACTAATACTTGTCTGGGATATTGAGCTGGAAAGTATACGTATTAATTATATATTTGTTGAGCTATATATATTTTAACAATTAAACATCTACTTTTGTAGTCAATGTTCGAAATTCAAATCTCAAGTTTTGAAAACAGTAGGACTGCATATCAATAAATGCACTCCCTTGGATTTAATTTATGTAATATGTATACATTAATGGCATATTTTATGATATCCATGGAATATGTTTTTTAAAGAAACACACATTAACAAAAGAATTCCGACTATAGCAGTCCAGTCCAATACGAAAAATCGTAATATTACGAAAAGTCGTAATATATACAATTTCTAACTTTTCTAAGAGTTACTTCCCTTTTTCTGATACACTGTTTCATTAATCATGATATCATGGATATATAAATTATACTCCGTGAAAACATGAAAAGCACGATTTTTTTTTTTTTTTTTTTAATTATTCATATGAAAACCTGGTTAGTTATGCAAACAACACATACATGCATGTCAAAATTCTACAGAGATGTGTCTTAACCAGTGACCTAATTTTCGTGTTTTGAAAGCAGCTATTTAATAGTACAAAGTTGCATCTTTAAAAAGTGTTTTAAAATGGTCGATTTATGAGATGTTAAGAAAATATTAAAATTAATTCATAACTAATTTTAATAAAATTTTATTATATACTTGATATCATTTTTCAAGAAACCCAACTCGATCGACCAAAGTCACTTCAAAATTTAGCCTGTTGTCAATGCAAGTGTCTTGTACTAAAACATCCATTAAAATTAAAAGGTTTTTAAATGAGTATGCGTATGTTATACCAATTTTAGGAAAACTGTCGATCCTCGGAATAAAAAGAAATAGGAAACCTAAACTGTTAAGAATCGTTCCATTACAGAAAACTGTAATATTACGAAAATCCGTAACATTATAGAAAACCGTAATGTTACGAAAATCTGTAATATAACAGAAAAACGTAATATAATGAAAATCCGTAATATAACAGAAAACCGTTACATTACGAAAATCTATATTTCACATAAAATCACTGCAAAAAGACCGTTAAATTACAAAAAAGAATTATTTAATTGATATGGTCTTCTGTTTTACACCTAGTGTACAGGAGAATAGTATACTAGAATTGCCCTTGTTGCTGACTGTGTACATGTAAAAGACATTTGTAAAATTGAAATGATTTTTTTTGGGGGGGGGGGGTTACAGTTTACGTGATGCCTACACCAACTATGTCAACTTCTAACAAGGGGAAAAACGTTTGTAGAGTGCTTTCCTAATATAAATAAACTTTTATGGTTGAGGTGGTGGTAGGGAGCTTCAATTTAGGAAAATCAAAAGCCATAAAAATATAGAAATAAACGCAAGAATCTTTTATCATTTTACAATTTTTAGCAATGATAGCTTACTACTCACTGCTCTGGTTTTATAAACGAGTTCTCATAAGTGACTTAGTTTGTATATATACAGGAATACAATGGATGCAATGGATGTATTACTACACTACTGCTGTAACAATTAAAACAAGAACACCAATCCACGAACAAAAACATTTTTTACAAAAACCAATATTTTTCCCTTAAAAAATACCATCATTTAATTTAAATAGACCACCTTGACCAATTCGTAACTCATCTGAAAGTTTGAAGAAAAGGGAAAGGCATCAGTTTGTCTATTCAAATTCGTATAAATCAAAAGTATCCCGCCAAGTCAAACATTGATTAACAGACACGTATAGTTTCATGAGAGCAATTAAGAACGGCTTGCCCCCCCCCCTTTTCCAACATAAAATTTAACTTTTGAAAAAGTTCATTGAAAAGGCTGGTTACCTCCCCCACCCCCACCCCAGTTTTTGTTGTAGCATAGTTAAATCATATTAAATTGGTACATGTATGTATTGAAAAAATAAATTGATTGTGAAAGTTGTAACTTAACCCACCCACCACATCCCTTTAACAAAATAGGATTTTCTAGTTCCTTAATTTTTTATTGCTTCTCAAGGTTTTTTTTCCAGGTAATTTGTTTTTTTTTTTCCTGCCCCCTTTCAAAAACGATACTGCGTCCCTGACTATAACTTCCCGCCTCCTGATACATAGTAGAAGAGAAATCATTAACTTTATATATGTACATATCGGTACTCTCTCTCACTCTAAGACCATATGTCTTGACCTGTATCATACACCCTAGTGTGAAATTGGCATGGTCTACATCCTGTCCTTTTCTCATATTTCAAATGAATCTTGTGCGATCATGTTGATGTGAATGTCGACAATCCTCCTGGGACATCACTTCGGCAAAGAACAGTTCGTATGCTGACCTCTATCAGACAACTTCTGGGGCCACTTCAATATTTATTTCCCACAAGGTGAAGGATTCTGAATCTTTTGTGTTTACTACTTTGCCGGGATACCACATACAGCAAAGTACGCCCCATTTTCCCAACTAAGTTTTCTAGATAAAATAAACACGCAATTACAATATCGGTTCACACGTACAACTGATCATGAGTGCATTTATCGAAGAGTCTAAAAATTATAAGGAATTCTAGCTTTGTAATATATTTCAAAGATTTTATGTATTATATTTACACAGGACATAGAGAAAGATTTTCCCAGCTTCTTTTCTTTTTCTTCTTTTTTTCGGGGGGGGGGGGGCACAAACAGGTGGAACCTTATACAGGCTTCTCATTCTTGATTCATTGTACTCTTCATCGTCCAGGGTTCGACACTAACTTTAGTCCGTTAGTCTCAGACTAATACATTTTCATTCGGACTAATAAAATCTGTGGCTAATTAGTCCGAACGGACCAATAAAAATTCCTGGAAAACAACATGAATAATTTACCGATGTCCGATTCTCCACAACTTTTACTGGAAAACCCCGCATTTATTTTTAGCTTTCTAGATTAATTTTTGGCGGGGAGCTAGACAATTTCGAGTCAGCGCTTAATTTTTTCGACTGATTTAACCCTAACAAAAAAAATACTATAGTAAACTATAGTTAACTATATTTTACTATAGTTAACTATAGTTAATCAAAGTTCCAAAGTTTTCACTCTATTAAATCAAAGTTCCAAAGTTTTTACTATAGTAAATCAAAGTTTCAAAGTTTTTACTATAGTAAATCAAAGTTCCAAAGTTTTCACTATAGTAAATCAAAGTTCCAAAGTTTTTACTATAGTAAATCAAAGTTCCAAAGTTTTCACTATAGTAAATCAAATTTCCAAAGTTTTCACTATACTAAATCAAAGTTCCAAAGTTTTTACTATAATTAATTAAAATTTTAAAGTTTTCCCTATACTTAATCAAAGTTTCAAAGTTTTTTCATTAGTTTTACAACTTATGTATTTTTCATTATTTTTTGTTATTATTTAGCCGTTTTAGGGGAGGGGTGGATATGGGGTAGGTTGGAGCTGGGTTTTGTTGTACATCTTTATTTAAATATACAAAGTAGTTAATTCAAATGCAATTTTTACATTTATGAATTTAAAAAAAATACACGTTGACTGAAGTTGATGAAGCAGATATTTTGATTCTAAATGACACTATTTTTTTTTTATAATATATTTTTTCTCCATAAATAGGACTTACCTTACATCTGCATAACATTAAAATTAAATACATTGAAATAAATATTGCTTATATATCGGCGCAAGCGACAACCTTTACATTAAAATTCATATCTTGTACATTTTTCTTTTAGGGGAGGGGTCGAGTTTTTAAAATGTTCTCTAAAGATTTTATTAATCTTAATCTTGAAATATCAAAAAATGTAAAGAATGGGAATCAAAAACATAATTCCACGGGATTTATCGTACTTAATCAAAGTTTTTACTATAATTACTCAAAGTTCCAAAGTTTT